TAAATCAATACAATTCTTGAAGATAGACTAACATCATTTATTTGACTTTATCAAAGTAACAGTGGAACCAGATAAACTTACGAATTCGAATATAGCTTTGATATATGAATTTCATGCCAACTTAAACGTATATCGTTATCTTGAGTTGCTTTCATAGAGAGACTTTGGGAGCAAGAAAATGAGAGAGAACTAAAAATAAAGGAAAAAAATAGAGCTAAATATTTTGGTGAAGAATGTTGGGATAAAATGTCTTTTTATACAAATAGATGAAAAAGTTACAAATCTTTTGAAATTACACGACTTTTGAAATTCTACTATTAAATAATATTAGTAAAAATCATTAAACTATTCATAAATTAGACAACAACATTTTTCGTATTCCAATTTAGAAGTTACTCTCTTGGATGAGGAATATGGAGAAATTGATTGAATCATTAACCTACCACTAAACAAATGTATAAATACATGAACTTAAATCAAGGTTGTATTTCTATGTATAAAAGATAAATACGGAAAGAAAGAAAGGTTGTAGTAGTAGAAAAAAAAAAGAAAATAGAAAAAAAGAAACACGTGGATGAGAGGCGGATTTTTTTCAGAGGTGAATTAAGGAAGAGATGTGATAGGAGTGAGAAATATAAATTCATGGAGAAGGATAATTTAGGTATTATTGAAAGGGAGTCAAGGTCAATATCGTCCATAAAATGTTTCTTCCACATCCGTACTTTTTAATATATATTATAGATTATAGATATGATCTCATATTGCTTCTTGAGCTGCTCCCAAATTAATGCAATATGCTCCCTCGTAAACTTCTCATGTTCAACAATATGGATATGAAAAGATGCAAGTTTGACATTTGATAGGTGCGGCTGATGGAATCACACAACTTAAATGAAGTGTGGTTTTAGTTGATCATTACGATGATGGTGAAGTCATTATTGTTCGCAATAATTTTACTGAAGGTGAAAATGTTGATAAGAAAAGAAAAACATATATCTCAAATTTGTTTTAGGAAAGGAGTGAAAAAGAATCATTTTATAGTTGTAGGAAAAGAAAGAGATATAGATCTTTTTGAAATTCCAAAACTCTTGATATTAAAAAATTAAATATAATTAAAGGTTATAATTGTTGAATTAATTAATTAATTTTGGTAAGTCACAACTTTTCATATTACATTTTATGTTTTAAATTAAATTAATATCTTTTAATAGTTATTGATAAATTAAATTAATATTCTTTAATAGTTATTGATAATTAATTGTGTGATGCTTTTTAAATTATAAATTTTATGGAGATATAAAATGGTAGAATATTATTTTCAAAATATGGTAGTTTTTTTTATCTATTTTCCACTGTTATAAATTTAAATTATCAATTTTATGAATGCAGTTAATTACTAATTTAAATATATTTTCAATTTAATTATTATTTAACCATTAAAATGATATAACTTTTGAAGTTCCATTATGATTATACTTAAACCTTAAATTATTAATTAATAAATAAACTTAAATGAAGGTATAAAAAAGAAAAAAATACCTACATAAAAGACACGAAGCAACGTGGGAGGAGAATGGAGGATTTGAAATAAAAATAATAATTTAATAGGGATAATTTAGGTATTAATTTTAAAACTAAGGATAAAATTGTCCAAAAAAAGTTTCTTCCATGTCCGTACGTTTATATATATTATAGATATAGATTTAACCAACTCACTCCCTTGCAAGTTGGTGGGTGGGGGAGATTACTTCATCTCTATAAAATTCATAAGTTGCATTTTGTAGGGATTGATGACTTTTAGTGATTTTGGAACAAAATCATATTCTCTCAATTAGCTATCTCTATCAAATTCAAATTCCATCTCTTTCAAAAATACGGTTCCCACAAACCGATCCTTGCCCAGAGTATAGCGGAGAAGACATTTTGGTGGTGTCGTTGAACTACGGTGAAGAACAGTCTTCAAAGGTAGGTTGCTCAACTTCTCCTTATTCCCTTTTTTACATTGTTTTTGTCTTTTCTTTATTGTTTTTCTAAAACAAAATCAAAGCACAAGCGTTCACGCTCTTCCGCTGCGGGATTCGATCCCTTTAATCGATTTGTCGAACCATTTCCTCTTACTCAACCCCCACTTGAGGAGTGTATATTTTTTTAAGAAAATTAAAAAGAAAACTGGTCAAGTATTGTAAAACAGATTACTCAATTATCAAATATGGAAATCCAACCTAATGAAACAAAAAATTGCAAAAGGGACCCAGCTACTGCTGCGAAAAAGAAAACCTTAAATTTTGTTGAAAGTGGAATGATGTGTATATGAAAAAAGAAAATAGAATACTTAACTAGTGGTAATAAATTTTAAGATGCTCAACGTTCCATGGATGGGGTAGGACTTTGCCATGTTGCTTTTTTAAGCTCATAGGTGTTTGGTTGGACTACTCTGGCAACCTTGTACGGGCCTTCTTATATATGTCCTAGTGCTCCATTGGTTGGGTCTTTAGTGCTCGACATGACTTTTCCCAGGACGATGTCACCCTCTTTAAAGTTGTGCTCTTTTAACTTTCGTATTATAATATCGAATCATTGGATTTTTATATTCTGCTGTTCGTAATCAAGTTGTCTCTCGACATTTTTCCGATAGGTTGAGGTTGAGCTGTTTGGACTCCTTGTAATCAAGCTGTTTGGACAAGCTTTAAGAGAAGTGGTGTTGAACTGAGGTAATTTTTTAGTTATTTGAAGGTGATTTTGGACTCTTTTATCCATTCGAGTTTTCCCTTTTTTTTTCAATGTTTTGAAGAAAGAGAGACATTTATTAGTCGCACGACTTACAAACCTGTTGAGCGCATATATTCTTCTGTTAAGGCTTTGAAGTTATTTTAAGTTTTTCGGCAAATCCATCTCTAACATAAATTGAATTTTATTAGGATTTGCTTTGATTCCTCATTGATGCACCATGAATCCAAGAAACTTTCATGAGGTGACCCAAAAACCGACACTTGTTTAGATTTAGCTTCATTTCGTATTTTCTTAAAACTTCGAATACCGCGACCAAATCTGCTACATGTTGATTGGTCTGTCGACTCTTCACCAGCATGTTATCTACATAAGCCTCCATATTTTGACTAATAAGTGCTGCGAACATTCTATTCACCATCTTTTGTTATGTAGCTCCAACATTCTTTAGCCTAAATGACATCACAGTGAAACAATAAAGACCTCGGCTCGTAATGAAGGAAGTTTTTTCCTGGTCAGGCAAATACATCTTAATTTGATTGTATCCCAAATAAGCTTCCATGAAACTCAACATCTCATGGCCAGTAGTCGCATCTACTAATCAATCTATTCTTGGTAAAGGAAAACTGTCCTTGGTAAGCTTTATTTAGATCCGTAAAGTCAATTGAGGATCTTCCACTTATCATCAGCTTTATTTAATAGTACTACGTTGGATAGCCATTGAAGATAATTAACTTCTCGAATAAATTTTGCTTTTAATAATTCTTCTACTTGCTCGGCTACAACTTCATTCCTTGCTTGGTTGAAGGTATGGTGCTTCTATCTTACGAGTTTAAAGTCTCAGTCCACATTAAGTCGATGCACCATTATTTCTCGATCGATCCCTGACATGTCATCGTGTGACCAGCAGATATATCAGGATTGCTTTTGAGAAAATTGATGAGACTTGTTCTCTCCTAAGCCCCTAGCAGATTTCGATGTTGACTCGTCGCTCTTCAAATGTAAGAGGGATTGATTCCAAATCTTTAGCGAGTTTCTTTTTCCTGAGACAGATGACTCCATGTGATCAAGGCTCGAGTCGACCTTTTCCTCGCCGTCGATCAATTTGTCATCCAGCAAAGACATTGAACTGGTTGCTCGATCTACCCCAATGGCAGGACATGATCTCATCCCACTGGCGGTTAAGTTGTCGTCCACTGGAGACACCAAGCCAATGACATGACATATTCTCATCTCACCACAAAAATCTCGTTTTTCATCTTCTAGGATTTGATTAAGGTTTACTATACCAATTAGCTTGTGTTTGCATGAACTATCTTTCTCTTGAATTTCGTCCACAGATGATGCAATTGTTGATATAGAAATTTGACCATTTAGACTAAATTTGCACTAATCTTCAATAATAAAATAACTTTGCTTTGGTAATAGTACCATCACAGGTCGGACGGTAAAAGAGAAAGGGAGTCGGGTATAGCTTCGTCTTCCCATAACCAGTATCAATATTCAACAGGTTCCATCTCAAAACCAGTTGGCAATGAGAGAAGTAGCCTATATCTATTATAAACCTTTATAAAGGTCCCTTTTCTTTTCAATATGGGATCCTTAACATGGATCTCAAGATCGTGACTCTTTTGGCTCATCAAGTTTGGCCGGATTGCATTTTTGGACCAGATGCTTGTTTGAGCTTTTTTAAGCTCTGATACCATGTTAATATGCATGGGGTTTCATCTCAAAACCAATTGATAATGAGAAGAGTAGCCCATGTCCCATTATAAATCTTTGTAAAGTCCCTTTTCTTTTCAATGTAGTATACTTGACAATTAGACCTAACCTTTCCCAAACTAGAGTTTCCATGCTTCATGGATCACATTAACACTATATGATGTATCTTTTGTGAAACACTAGCACCCGCTGTGTTTTTTGCCTTACAAAGACTATTAGGAATTTGTCACATTTTTGTATGTCTCGTGGCATGAATTTTTCTCCTTAATTCCTCTCAAAATTGTGTTTCCTTCGAGGGATGGAGTTCCGAAAGCCTCTCATGGCCAATCATAAAAGCCTTTGTTCTGAATACTTTTACTACAGTCAATATAATATATCTAAAATTTCGGAACAATAGTTTTACTTTTACATATATGTTCCAAAATATCTCTTTGCATCGTTCTATATTTAGTCTCTTCCTTCTCATGTGGTTTACAAACTTTGGTGTTCAGCCTTTTTGATTTCACAAAAGCAATTAGTAAGTAATCCCCCTTAAAAAAAATTCTGCCTCTAAAAAATCCCCCTTAACCGATCGATCTCTCGATCTTCGATAGTTATAGCAGAAGTCTGACAATTTTTCATAGTTAATCCAAACCCGAATTTCTTCGAATGTTGTCCCTATTTTGACAAAGGGGTTTCAGTGTTTATATCCAAATCCTCATATTCCTCTCAATGAGATTAGCTAGTACTCTTTCCCTTTTTGTCACTTTGATTATAACCAAGAAATTGGTGATTGAACCCAAAAAGTAGAGAGAAATGGGAAGAAAATGATGATGATTATCAAAATTACACAAGTTTTCATGACTATGATTTTATGTTAGATCGTGTGGGATCTTCATAAATTTCCTCTTGAATTCTGCTGGTTTGGATTTGGGAAAGATGGCAGATGGAAATACGCAGTCCAGATATGTGAGGTTGACAAAAGATCAAGCGCCATTGGAGGATATCACCCCTGGGGAGCTCAATCAACCTATTCAAGTGCCTCAGGTAAAATCTTTTTTTTTTTCTTTTGAAATTCAAAAAATGGTTCGAGAAATGTGGGGTAGGAATTAGAACGACGTAACGTATAAGAGAGGTTACTAATGTTATACTGCATGCAAATTACAGTTGATTGTTCATAGATGCGAGGAGTGCGGGCAACCGCTACCGGAAAGCTATCAGCCACCGGCGGATGAAGATTGGACTACTGGAATTTTTGGTTGTGTCGAAGATACTAATAGTTGTAAGAATTTTATCTTTTGTTTGAATTTTCTGATTTAGAGCTAATTACTTTAATTCCTACCAAATACATTGTGCTTTGTTCATATGAAAATGAGGGTTAGGATGGTCATATGGATGCCTTTGAAGGGTTTCCATGCTTGAAATAATGCATTAATATTGTTGATTATTCCCTCTATCAAGACATATTCTTGAAGAGTGGAAAATCAAAACAATTGATTCAATGACAAACTAGAAGAGATAGAAAAAAGATGTTATATTGTGTTGGGAAATTTTCGATAATTTTCCACAAGCGTCTTCATTCAAATGGTTAAATCCATACAATAAATCTCAATTTAAACGGAACAAATCTTAAATTTTCTAATAATATTTCATAATTAAAAAATAACAAATTTTAAATTCACAATTCCCAATTCAAATTATCAATACAAATAATTTCAAAGCATAAACATCCTAATAATTCCCATATTTAAGTTCAGGACAATATATAAAATAAAAATAAATAAATGAGGCGAGGACGGAGAAGGGGAGGAGAACACATTCTCCATCTCTGTCCCCATTTAGGTCACGAGGAAAAATTGCACCCCACCTCTGCGGGAAAAGGGTGCTTAAACGACAAGGGTGGTAGGTCCCCTCTTGAAAAAGTAACACCTCTAGTCCCACAAAATAAGAAAATACAAAAGAATATAAGATAGTTCAATTTTCACAACTATCTAAGTATGATTTAATAAATAAGATATTTATTTACCATTTCAAAAGTTGGACATCTCCCTCCTAGAGAAACTCAAGTCTAAACACATTAAAATTATTGCTTGCTTTCACTACCTCTCACTCGTCTCGCTTTACTCTTAACCTGAATGCTTCCGTGATAAGAAATTTATTTACCATTCTAAAAGTTGATAATTCGATCTCTACTATTACAACTGTTGAACTCAAGAGAAAAAAGAATCGACACCTCCCTCCCGAATAAACTCAAGCCTAAACACATTAAAACCATTGCTTGCCTCCACTCCATCTCAACGCTTTACCTTTAACCACCTCCTACTAACCCAACAAAAAACTCCTCGACCAATGACTAACATACCCGATGCCATTCCTAGTCCCCGCTCGAACCACATTCCTTAACCGACAACGAACATGGTTCATTCTGGAAACTTTTTTGTTTTGGATGCAGGTTGGAGAGGGCTGTTCTGCCCTTGTGTGCTGTTTGGGGAGAATGTAGAGACATTGAGAGAAGACATCTCATGGCAAAATGCATGCGTTTGCCATGCGATGTGCGTGGAAGGAGGAATGGCACTGGCAGCTGCAACAGCACTTGTCCATGGTATTGATCCTCAGACTTCCTTTTTGATATCTGAAAGCCTCATGTTTGCTTGGTGGATGTGTGGCATCTACACTGGTTTGTTTCGCCAATCATTGCAGAAGAAATATCATCTTAAGGTAAAATATGTTGTTAAATTCAAATTATTTTAAAGTTTCATGTCATATTTTGGTTTCATTTTTGCTCATACCATGGGAGAAGTTAATCGAAAATTTTCCCCGACACTTTTAATTTTGTCGTGAAAAGTCATAGCTCTCGACACTTTTACAAAAGCATAGGGAAATATGAGAGTATTCCCAACGCTTTTACGAAAGCGTCGGGAAAGACGGATTTTCCAGACAAAAATGCTTTTCGTTGGAAAATTTACATTTCTTGAAGTTTTAGTTTTCATAGGAAAAATCTGCCTTTCACGACGCTTTTACAACAGTGTCGGAAAAGAAGTTTTCCCGACGAAAGCCAAAATATCAGGAAGAAAAGAAATTAAAACCTCATCTCCTTCATTCTTCCCTCGACCGAAATCCCCTTCTACTCGTCTGTCGCTGCCTCGTTTCTCCTCATTTGCTGCCGCCTCTTCCCACCGTCTCTCTCCCTCGTTACCAACGAAATTTCGCTTCCGCTTTGTTTACACATCCCTGAACCCTGCTGTACACTCTTTCCCAAAAGCTCGGACTTTACTATTTGAAGAGGAAGATTTCTGGGAGAAACGTGATTTCTTGTAGTACCAGAGGATCCCAAAGCTTTTTGGTAAATATCACTGTTTCTTATCCCATAAACGTTACCAGACGGAGCCCTACATTTTTTCTTCCATAAGTATCACACATGAACAATAGTAGAAATTTATTTTTCCTCCTAAATTTCTTATGTTTTCTTTTTCTTAGGTCAAATGTACAAAAGAATCTTTGCCTTAGAAAACACACTTTCTCTATTATTTTGGACTTGATTTTGTGTTTTATCTTGAGATTGAGTCGATTTATTTGATTATTAGACCCCAAAACTCAAGATTAGTTGGGTTGCAAGCTTTATCAATAATTTGGTTCATAATTTGAACTTTATAAATCATTGACATATGAATGTAATTTTTTTGAAAAAATGGGAAAAAAGTTTACTTGCTTGTATTTAGTTTTGGATCTCACTTTGTAATTTTACAAAAGACAGACAATATATTTTTTATACGACCAGTGTAGGGGAATTTGTAATGAAAGTAAATCAATATATTTAAAAAAAATAAATTTTACGACAATCATTAGTCAATAATTAACTTAGACATTGATTCAAAAAACATAATTAAAGATTGATAAACTATGAACATCATAATTGTTGATTAACCGACATATTGGTACTAATCAGTAATGGTTAAGTGTATAATTCCAATGTAAACATTAGCTTAAGTCAGTTCTAATTGAAATTTATTTTTGACTAAGAGGTCATGAGTTCGAATTCCCAACTCCACGTGTTGTACTGAAAATAATTTATATATTCTAATTAATGATATATTTGCACTTTCTATTTTTTGTTATATTAGCAATTTTTTAGTGGCTACTATTTTATCTAAAAATTATGCTAGATTTATAGTTGAAGTGTGATCTTATTTTTTTCCATTTTTATAGAACTCTCCATGTGACCCATGTCTGGTGCATTGCTGCATGCATTGGTGTGCTCTATGTCAAGAACATAGAGAGATGAAGAACCATCTTTCTGATAATGCTACGTTGCAAATGGCCGTTGTGAATCCTCCTCCAGTTCAGGAGATGAACGCTGATGAGAACGAGTCTGCGCCTTCGGCCTCATCGGTGCCCTCTCAAGAACTCGCGATCACGCCAATTTAGGGACGATATAGAGCCAAGGGTGGAGTTAGAAATTTTCTTAAAGAAGCAAAATTTTACATTCTAATTTTTTTTAATATATAATCTTTCAATTTAAAAGAAAATTAGTAACGCAAATGAGAGGGAGGATTTTTTTTAATGTATATGTATGACAAGCTAGAGGCGCAATTGTCTCTCTCCTTCCTTTTTCTCTCCCAACCCGGATCTTGGAAATTTGGTGGCTTTTTATTTTATATGATTTTTTTGGGATGATGTAGAACTTTTGTTCCCTTGATAATTTAAATTATTTTCTAAAAATTAAATTTAATAATTTGAACTATTCTTTCATAAGCAGAACTTACCATGCATTTGGAATCACTCATTAAAGTCATTTACTTATGTTTGAGAATGATTTTGACCATTTGACATGTCAAAATCACTTGCCTTTGCCTTTACATTATCTTATTTGACAAATTAAAAAGTTGATTTTTGAAAATAAAATCACTTAAAATTGATTTTTAAGTTATTACTTGATTTTGGAAAATCAATTACACTATTCCCTTTAAAGTTTTTGGTTTTTAAAAACAAGGTTATTTGATAACAAATTTTTTTGTTTCTGTTTTTAAAAATCATTTTTGAAATCATTAGTAAATTTAAAAAACAAAAAATAAAATAGTTTCTAATTTTCAAAATCTCATTTTTTTCTTGCAGTGTTCGACTTTTTTTTTTCTTTGACATATTTCTCTCTAATAATTTTTTTTCTCGTTCTAAAATATTTTTCTACCTAAATTTCTCTTACAAAAATTTATTTTTTTCCGTCTAAAATTTGAATCTCTGCAATATTTCTCTCTCCAAAATTTTAATTTGTATATATATTCATATTTCTTTCTTTTTATTCTAACGTATCACTTTCTTTTTTCTTTCTTTACAAATTTAATATTTTTTCCGAACGTTTCTCATCTTAAAATTTCACATTTTATAACTTCTCTTTCTGAGTCTAGTCCACTTCTCTAAAAAACATATCTTCAAACTTTTTTTGTCTAAATGTTTTCTCGTTCAATTTTCTTCTGCTTATAACTTTTTTTATTTACTTTGTGTAACAACTATATTTTGAACTTTTTCTGTCCATATTCTCTTCTCACTATAATTTTTTTTCTCTTTCTAATTTTTTTTCTTTGTTTAACATGTATTTTGCTCTCAACTTTACTCTCTCTAGATTTTTTTTTTCTAACTTTTCTCTAACTCTATAAATTTCTCTCTCTGAAATTTCTCTTTGAAAAGTTTTTTTCATCTCTCTAAACTTCTATTTTCATGTCTCTTGTCGCAACGTCATCGCGACGCGGAGCGACCGACGTCATCCCCTGATGGGTCTCTTTCGAGATAAGGGTTTGGAGTCGCCACCAATCATCTACGAGGTGTGATTGGTCACCTAAAAATAAAGACAAGGTCTGCGAAAACAGATTTTGGTTCGGGAGTCGACTGAGCGTAGGGAAGATGTTAGCACCCTATGACACCCATTCGAAAACAGTACCACAATTTATCATAAATTACCTTATTATTTTATTTGGTCCAAGAAAAAAAATATTTTTGTTTTGATCGAAATGTCCCATGTTATATTGATTCACACTCTGTTATAAGATATGAATTAATATGTATGAGTGACACGAAGGCCATTAGAAAAATTAAGCACCTCGAGTAAATTGGAGGGTTGCAATTCCCGTCATCGGAGTTTTCAAAATAATTATTTTAGTAAAAAAAAAAAATAATAACAAAAAAAAAATTTATTTTAAGGCACATTAAGACTTGAGCTAGTGACTTAAGCATTGACATTCCAACATCTCACCAATGTGACACCACCTTAGGATGTAATCTATATTCTTTTTGAAAATACAAACTTTGTATTTTTAAATTTTGTTTAAAAAAAAAAGAAAAACTCTAAACGAAATCTTTTATTTAAAATAATTATTTAGTAAAAACAATGATAAAAAGAAGCATGCAAGGACTCGAACTTGGGTATGTATATTAAAAACCAAACATTTTACCACTATGTTAACACCCTAAGAAGTAAACATTATACTCTTTTACAAAAACAAAAGTTCTAATTTATTTTCTTAAACTAAAAAAAAAAACCTACGAATTTTGTTAAATTTAAAGAAAAAATAATAATTTTTTATGTATTTTGACATTAAAAAGACTTTTTCAAGAAAATCTTTTATTTCTAATTAAAAAAATCAATTTTACTTAAAACAAATTGTTAAGATCTTTTCTAAAATGATAATCATCATTTAAAAAAAGATTTCATTCTCCTAACAACTTAATGTAAATTACAAATGTTACAAGATTAAAACAAATTCTAGAAAACAATTTTCTGTAAATCCTCTATTTTTTAAATCCCTGTAGCAGAAATTCTCTTTCTAAAAATAAATAAAAAAAAATTAAGAAAACAAAATTAAGAACTTTTGAATAGAAATTTTAAAGAATCCATTTTATTTTTAAAAGATTTAGTTTATAAAACTCTTATTATTATTATTTTTAACTTACAAAACGTTAATGCAAAATCTTTTATTTAAATGAAATTAACTTTTCGTTACTTTATTTAAAAATTATTTTATTTTACTTTTGAAAAAAAATTATCTACATTATTTTTCAAAACTTATTTTAAAAAGTTTATTTTCTTTAAAAGGAAAATTTTATTTTTTTKTKWWAAAWAWAMWYTTTTTTTTATTTATKAAAAGAAATGTAGGGGTATACTGTGCAAAGATTTTTACCACGGATGTCGTTCGTCGTGTTAGAGTGGGTCGCTGGACTCTTGGTCGTCGTCAGTCAATCACCGGAGGATGGTCTCAAGGCAGCAATGGAGGTCGTGAGGTGTGCACCAGAGTCTTGTTGTGTGTTGGTTCTATTGAACCGCCTTCAGAGACTAAGAGAAAAAATAAAAAATTTTCTTTACGCAAATCATTCTTCTGTGCGCTCTCTGTTTTTTTTTCCTCTGTGTGTTGTGTGCCCTTTAAATATACCAAAAAAATAATAGTAACATGCGTGAGTCAAGAAAAACCAAAGAAAAAGAGGGAAGGGAAAGCGTTCGGTTTTGACGAAGGAAAAA